AAGGGCTGCTTCTCATCTCCCGTGCACCCTCAGTGTTGGTGCCAGGATGGGCCCTGGGAGCGTGTGCACACAGCAGTGTGGGATACTGGAAGCTCCGGCCTTCCCAAGGACAGAAACAGCATGTGCCCTGCCCAGCTGTCACTCCCCAGGGCCTGGGCCCCCTCCTCACCCACTCTCCCAGGACAGGACTTGCATGCCATCCCTGTGAATCACAAGCCGAGTCCATCCGCGTGTGCTGATCAGGCTGCTGCCCATTTTACAGATGGCCCCTTCGGAAGGCACTGTGACGCAGATAGGGCTCCTCTCCCAAGACATTCACCGCCTCACGGTAGGATTCTGACCCTCTATCTGCAGTAGGCCAGGTGCTGGGGTGGCCCCACGAGTTTGGCGTGATACCCACAGCCTGACCACCTCCCCCCTGCCCCCAATCCCAACCTGGGTCCTAGGCTGTGCTAGGAATTCGAAGGATGGTGCTGAGCACTGTGGCCTGAGCTGCTAGGGGCACTGAGAAGGGTCACGGGCCTTGAGCTGAAACCAGCTAAAGCATGCCAGGTCTCGGTCCTCTTCCCAGGCTCAGAGCTGGTGAGGAAACCAAGATGCTTGGCAGTTCCGGGTCACCTGCCTCGTCAGCCCAATGCCCGGGCCTCCTCTCTGACCTGGTGGGCACTGCTTTGCCCTCTGCCCATGAGACACATGCATTTTGTGCCATGCCTCTGGCCTCATGGCAATCATGGGCATGTGGACACATCCTGGTGTGCCTCATGGGGACAAACTATCATGAAGGGGCAGAATGGTGTCCGGGAGAGATGCCGCTTCGGAGGGAGGCCAATCTGGTTCAAGCCCCTGCTCTGCCTCTCACTGACTCTGGGACCTCAGGCAAGTCATTCTCTCTGCGAACCGCAGCTTAGTTGTCTGTAAAGCCTCCTCGCAAGGCTTAGAGACAGACGACAGCTGGCAGGAAAAGTCCAGCCACAGAGAAGATTCACACTGTGGAGGCCCTATACCTTCCACTGCCCCTTACTTTTGGATGGTCCCATCACTGAGCCCACTGGCTGTAGCCCCTGTCCCCGTCCTTTGCTCACTGATCTCTTAGGGCACATTAAGAAGGCTGTATCCAAGGACAAGATGGAAGTGGAGGGGGCAGGGGACTCCCTGAATCGAAATGGGATCATTTTTATTTTATTTTTCCCTTGGCTCGCACACTGAAGTGAATGCACCCAGCCTTGCCCTCCACTACTCATAGGCCTTGGGTGGTCTTGAAATAGCAACTTCCCCTCTAAGGTATGAGCGATGTATTTGTCTTGATAGCGCAGTCTGTTCTGATTGCGCATGTGGGGTCCCTGGAACCCCATGAGCTTAGAGGCTGCCAGTGGTGTCAGACGGGACCTCACCCAGTGTCCCGCTGCTTCCTGCGTAGCTGCCGCACGGCAGCCTTGACCAAAACCCTGTTCAACTGGCCCTCGGGCTGTGTCCTTTCAGACTCTGCTGAGCCAGGACCAGCTGCTGAGCGACTCTCGCCTGGCCACTCCCAGCCCTGAGGACTGGAGGTGACTTTCTTCGTGGCCAGGAGCCCAGAAAGCCACGCATGGGAGCCCCGGGTCTTTGCGTCGGGGAGCTGGCGTGGCCACCCGCAGAGCCCGGACAGGCTGGCAGGACCCCTCGGATGTGCGCACTGACAGGAGCGAGCAGAGCGGTGAACAGATGTCCAGGAGGGGGCCCCGGGGGCCCTGCGTTTTCAGCCGCGCTAGGCTCTTCACCACAGCTTTTATACCTTTTGTACTTTTATACATGGATTGCCCCCCACTTCTGTGGGGAGGGCAGTGAGACGTCAGCACAGACTCAATGGCCCCTGCTCTTCCTGGTGACGTTTGGGAGGTTCTTATGCCAAAGGGGAAGGGCAAGGAGTTCATAAAAGCTCTGCTGGAAGAAACTTCTGGAAAAAAACGTTCTGGCTGTCCTGTAGTGGCTGAGCTGGCTGAAATGACAGGGAGCCCCTCCTGGCTGCTTCCACACCGAGGGGGCACTTGCCTTCACAGGAACCGGCCCAGGGTGAGCACGGCGAAGGAGCAGTGGGACTCCTCCCATGGCCCTCACTGCCCTCGTCCTACCCTCCTCTGCAGCAGGGTGTCTGGTTGTCCGTGCTGCTGGGCCTCCTCAGGTCTGAGCAGAGGCGGCTCCAAACCCTGGGCCCCCTAACCCTGGCTGACCCGCCAGGCTCCCAAGTGCAGGTGTCTGGTCAGATGGCTGCCCCCAGCGGACGGCCCTCGCACACCCCAACAGTGTTTCCACCCCTGGCCATCTCCCCACACAGCCTGTTCCCTGCCGTGTCTCCTTTCTCGGGGAGAGGCCCCGTGTGCCCCCAGCCATTCTGTCCCTCCCGACCAGTCTCCCCACTGGCAACAGCCCCATCCTCTTCCTCCCTGTGACAGCTCAGGCCTCCTCTCTCCTCTGCTTTCCAAAGCTGGGCTCCTCGGTCCCCCACCTCCCCAGTTGGTCCCCTGCCGTTCTCTCCCCTGTCCGAGAGCGGCCTTCCCAAAGCACCGTTCTCATCCTGATACCGTTGTGCTAAGAACGCCTCAGTTTCAGAATCGAGAGAGGAGTTCAAAAGCCTTAGGCAGCACCCATGGCCCTTCCGAGTCTCCGGCCTCACGAACCCTCACGAAAGCCTGTGCCGCTGCCTTTCCCTCCCCGTGAGGTGTCGTTTTCCCCCTGGTCCCCCTCACAAGGCCGAGTTGCGCCTGTCCAGAGCCAGCAAGCCACACAGCTTCTTTCAGGAAGCCTTCGCTGATGCGTCGGAGTTTCCTGTGTCCCATTGTGCCGTCAGCCCTTGAGCCGGAGCCCTCCTAGCTCCCCTGCTGGGTGTCTTTCTCCCTCACGCAGCCACCCTCAGCACGAAGGCACCGAGCACGTGCTGTGGGCGCACTCCCGTACCGCCGGAGTAAGAGCCAGCCCTGGTCCCCAAACTGCTCAGGGACTCCAAGCAGGCCACCGTGCCGTGCTCCAGCCACCCACCCCTTCTTATGTGCAGGTTAAGCATGTTCCATGCCAGGCTGAGGGCTGGAGGTCTAGGCACGAATGTCAAGGTGCTTGTCTGAGGGTGCTGATGCTCTAGTGGGGGTTACATCTCTGTTCTAAGCTGAAAGGTACAGATGCTCCAGTAGAAACTACTTGTCCTTTTATTTTTTTATTTTTTTTGCGAGAGAGAGAATGAGAGAGAGCACGAGCGGGAGGAGGGTCAGAGGGAGAAGCAGACTCCCCGCTGAGCAGGGAGCCTGATGTGGGACTCGATCTTGGGACTCCAGGATCATGACCTGAGCCGAAGGCAGTCGCTTAACCAACTGAGCCACCCAGGCGCCCTACTTGTCCTTTTTAATGGAGAGCCGGGGGAGCGGCCGGAAAAGACTTCGAGGAAGAGGTGCTCCCTGGATTTCAGACATAACTCGGTTCCCGAGTGTGCCAGAGGGGAAAGGTGTGGTAAGCTCTGTGTTGGAGGAAGTACAAGGGTGGGCTCTTACTCATCATACTGTGCCCAGCGGAGTAGCTTCTCCAAGTAGGGATCTGCTGAGGGTGCGCTGAACACACGCATGGGTGAAGGCTCGCAGCCCCTCCCCCCCACACCCCGCACCCATCGCACCCCTACCCACCCTCTGTGAGACCATCCCTAGGCAGGGCACAGCTGCACTCTGGTGAGTTCTCTAGAGCCATCTCACCCTCTCCTGCCCCCCCACACGCATGCACACACGCACATCCAGTGACACCGTTGGAGGCAATGCTAACAATGCCAGTTTTTGCAGAAAGGAAAGGACTTGGACTTAAGCACCCAGGTCTGAAGCCCAGCTTTGCTGCCTCCTGTTGTGTTGGAAGGACCTGAAGATAATAACTTAGAGCCTCACCTTCCTCATCTGTAACTCGGGAGAACATCATCCCCACGGAATCCCAGCTTGTTGTGAGAATGATGCGAACTAAAGTGCAGGACAAGTTCTACCCACCCCTGGGCAACGGAGCAGCACGTCAGCCTGGCCGCAGACGGCCAGGGCTGGGGGGTCACTTGGATCACTTGGGCTTAGCAATGGCAAGGATTTCAGGAATAACTCCTGGAGCCTCATCTCATTTGCAGTTCAGAAGCTTCTGTGCTAACCACCCCACCCGCCACACCAGAATGGGGCCTGGCATTTAGAAGATGCTGAGAAAACCAGGGCCCTTGCCTCCATCTGTTGTGCAAAGCACAGGGAGTCTAGCATGGCTGAAGCCTGCCTACCGTACGGATTTACAACTCCCTAATACCTTTCAACACCGTTCCCACTTCAAGGGTCTCCTACCAAAGAAGGAAGAGAGCACATGGAGGGTGCCTGGGCCCTCTAGTAAGTCTGACCTTAAAAACAACACTCTGGAGAGGGCAGTTCAAGAGAGATTACTGGGAGTTGATATGACCCCAGTTGGATCCTTCTGGAATTCTGCCCCTGCACTTTTGCCAGTTCTGACCTCCCTTGGACACACACAAGACTGTTCACATGTAGGGCTGGCCTAGCAGATTCCCCACAGAGCCACATCTCCTGAGCTGTCTGCTTTGTGCTGAAGTTGATTTCATTAAACTATGGGGCAAGGCACTTCGAGCCTCCCAAGCTAGGAGGCCTCAGAAACCAGTCTGCCTCCAGCCCCTTGAATGCTTCTTAGGCTCACACCCGAACGAGGAGCCATGTGCCTGAGGATGCATTACAAGGCACTTGTGAACACATCCCAGTTTAATGTGGTGAGGCAGAACTCACTCCAAAACAGAAAGGGACCAGGCAAATTTGCTAGAAGCAAGGGAGGTATCAGTAAGTGAAAATCATATCCTTGGTATAACCCAGTTTCTCCAGGTTAGGGTGAGCAGTTGTCTGGATCAGGGGCAGTGGGCCACACACCAGGATGAGCGTGGACTGCCCAGGAGGAGGGAGGTGCTCCTTGATCATGTTGGCGGTGATGTAGCCTGAGCTGTACTTCCAGCCTGAGGTTAAGCAGAAGTAGAAAAAAGCTGTGAGGCTGCTGGGTAGAGCCCCTGACCCCAAGCCATCTGCCCCCACCCCAAAGAGGGAGGCAAGGCTGCTCTCCAAGGCTTAGAAGTCTGCACTGCTGTTCTCTGCAGAGAAGCCGGGAAATGGAGGACATGGGAGACCCAGGAAGCCTTCAGTATTGACCCCGCATCCCAGGCTTACTGCTGGTTGTCTGACGCCGCACGCAGGGGCAGGGATGGAGAACACAACAGTGAGGCATGGTGTGAATCAAGGCAGGGAGCTGGGGCTGGGCAGGGTGGAGCAGGCCTGGGGTTTGTGGCTCGGTTAGGGGGTGCCCTCTGCTGGGCAGCGAGCTATATGACAAGGCAGGCACAGCTGGGTGCAGTAGGAGAGGCAGCATGAAGGTGCAGGGTGCCGGGGTGGCTGGGTGCTGGCTAGGGTTGCAGCAGCTGCCTGGGGCTCGCCATGTGATGATGACTACTGTCCAGGAGAGGTCGGGTGGTAAGGGGGCGAGGGGTCCATGGCCATGTGTGTGATGTCTCTGCGGGATGCTGTGTCGAGTGTAGTATGGAGTGGGTGCTCAGAGCGACCCAGTGACCGGGTGTCCCTCCGAGTCCCTCCTGAGGTTCAGTGCGCATATGGACTGCTGCTGAGATATCAGACACTGCTCTTACAAGCAGGTCGCCCCAATCCTCTCTCCCTCCACTTCCATTTCCCATGCAGGGACAGAGCTGAAGGTCTCAGCTCCCAAGCACAGACCTAAAAAGCAAACAAACCCAGGGACTAGTTCCTGAGGTGGGTCAAGGGTTGGAGTTAACCCACAGTGGGGACTATGGGGATCATACCAACAGGAGGCCTGTCCAGGGTGTACCATAGGTCGAACTGCTCTGGATGAGTTCTGGCAACTTCTTCAAGCTCCTTTCTCACCAAGATATCCTCCTCTGTCTAGAAAAGAAGGAACATGAGCAAAGCCCCAACAGGGACATCCTGCTTGGTCCCCACACTGAGCACACGGGTCAGCACATTTCTGCCTGAGCTGACCCCACTTGAGTGGGGGTGCTCTCGCCATGACTCCGGGGCAAACAAAGGTTCTGCTGCAGCTTCTGCACTACCAGCCCTCCCTCTTGTGGGTGGAGGACAGGGGAGGCTCCTGCAGCAGCCGTGACCGCCCTCCAGCTGGAAGGCCACTGCGGAGCCCAGGCGGGGTGGCCTCACTCAGAGGTCTCAGCCCCCCGCCCCCATCCACACTGAGCACCACGCAGGGCTAACCCAGCTGGAACCCAGTTGGAAGGAGCGGAGTGTGGGCCCAGGATCTTCTGCAGGGAGCGCAAGGGGTGAAGGCAGTAATACACGAGGTCCCACCTAACGTAACAGCACTGGAGAGCTAAAGCAGAGGGCAACACGGGCTGGAGCTTCATTTGGGGAAAGGAAACCAAAGCCAAAAGAAAGTTGTCACAGGCTCCGAGATACTGCAGAGAGGACCTAGATCTTAAAACTTGTCATGGTTCTTGTGCCCGCAATTCTACTTCTGGGATCCTATTTAAGAAAATAATCTAAAAGGCATCAAGCATTTTATCCTTAAAACTGTGAAAACTGCAAACAATCTGAATGCAGAAAATACAGTAAATTATGGTGCAACTTGATACAGACTGATGAAAATATTTATAAAGAGGCTTGATGAGAAGAAAATGCTCGTGTGGTAATGTTGAGTGAAAAAACCAAGCAATATATAAATGTAATTGCAAATACACGGCATGTATAGAAGAAAGACAAAAAAGATGTCAAGTATTTATATACTTCTGTATTTTCTAAAATTTCTACTGAGGACATCTATGATTTTATACTCAGAAAAACAATTGATTATGAAGGAAAGAAAGCTTAGTCCATAGGGTGGCTGGGGAGACAGTTAAAAACAAAAACAAGTGGGAAACCAGGCCTGGACTTCGCTCCTCCAGCAGCCACACCCCCACACCCCGGCTGAGCACCTGCTTGGCCCTCCCGTGGCAGAGGCAGCGAGAGGTCAGTCGGGGGGGAGGTGTGAACGCAGACGGCCCGCTCAGCAAACATGCCTCCCACCCCTCCAAGCTCAGGGCTGACTCGGCAGAACTGACCTGGTTGGCAAAGATGAGGGACATCCTGGTCCTGTCGCTGGGGTTCTTTGTGATGTGGCGAATGAGCTGCAGCATGGGAGTAATCCCTGGGACAGGAAGGAGCAGGCGGGACACGGCTAGTGGGGCTCCCTCCCGCTCCGGTACCCACGATCCCTGGTCTGCAGCCCCTTAACGCTCTGCCTCAGCCCCAGTCCTACTTCTCACATGCCTGGCCCCAAACTCAAAGTGGAAAACCGCCCTTCATTTTGGTTTTCCCTTCTAATGCAACAATAAATTGAAAGCCCTTTCTGATGTTCACGTGCAAGATGGAAGGAGCCCTGGCTCTGAACTGGCTAGTTTCACACTCAACCCCCTAGCCCGACTTGCTCTCAGAGCAGGGTGAGTCAGGTGTCCGTCTGAGCTCTTTGGTGTCCCCATGTGTACAACAGAATGAATGACGAGTAAGTGATCATTTCACAAGCGCCTGTGATGGTGCCTGGCACATCGTAGGTGTCCTGATATATCTGTTCTGTTCTCTCATTCACTCATTCTCAGGGGATGGGGAGATTCGGGCTTGACCTGCATCCAGGAGCCCTCAGGGGACCATGTGTGGGCTTACTCAGCTTGGTCCCCAGACTCTTCCAGGGGCCCCAGCGTGACTTCTGGGGCAGCCAGCATGCTGCATCAGAGGAGCAGGGCACATGGGGTCCGTTTCCAGGCCTGTCATCAACCTGCACTCCCCTCTAAAACAGCCATGGAAGAGTCTCCTCTAGGATCAAATGACTTCAAAGTACGAAAGGTCTTGGGGCCCCTCCCCCCATGGAGGAAGCCCCGGAAGTCTCTCACCTGTGCCCCCAGCGATCATTCCCAGGTGACTGACCAGCTTCTTTTCAGGCTCACTTGTTTTGTATGCCTTGATTGAAAAGTTCCCTAGAAACACAGAGGACCCCTCTGACTTCTGCAGCTCTTGCGTGAGAGCTTGTAAGAGGTCACGGGCTTCCCTTGGGACTCCCAGGAGGCAAGGCCACCCGAGGAAGGGGCCGCACCGTTCTCAACCAGAGAAGCGAGTCAGGGCGGCCCGGGGGCCATGGTGCACAAAGTGGAAACTGAGCCAAGGACTCGCTGGACCTTTTCTTCTGAGGGAGGAGGGAAGCACAGTGAAGTTAAATGGAGCCTCACAGAGCACTCTAAGCCACAGCATGAACGAGCGAGTCAGTGATGAGTATGTGGTAAGGAACGAGAGTGGATGCCATCCATCCATCCATCCATCCATCCATCCATCCATCCATCCATCCATCTATCCATCCATCCATGCTTCCACTGCTCAGCCTTACAGACACCTTTTCTGCATCGGGCATCGTTCTGGAGATCCAGTTTACATGAGGAAACATCCCAGCACTCCCCTACCTTAATGAAGCTTACAATCTCATCAAGTGTGTGTGTTGAGTGAACGTACGAAGGCTTTAAGGACAAGTCCACAGGACCCAACCCTGAGAAGTTTTCTACAACAATGGAACAACCACAAGAATCTTCTTCCTTCCAGCGGGAGGCCCAATGTGAACCCCCCAGTACCTGGCTTATGATAGAACAGGCGACCGGTTGGCCCTCGAAAAAGGATGGTGTCCCCAATTTTCATATTCTCCAAGTACTGAGTCATCTTCCCCCCTTCTGGATAATTGGGGTGCACATTTTTGAAGTAGATCTGAAAAATAAGGCAGCCTGGTTTGTACACCCTCAGACCAGAGGCCACAGCTGCACACAACTCAAAATTCCATTTGCTACTGGAAACCTTGAAGCAAAAGTTCTCTGCCCTCACAGTTGCTCTAAGCACCCCTGAAGACTTCACCACAGCTTCACTGTTCCATGACACTGCTGGAAAGCCCTTCCCAGGTCATGGGTTCCGTCCCCACCCTACCACCTTTCATAGGCTTGGGAGGTTGAGGCAGCTGGTGCCCCACTTACCTTTATAATCAAGTCCACAAAGCCTCGGTCATCATCACTGGACACTGGTGTGTAAGCCCTGACCACCAGAACACCATCAATTTTGGCCAAGAGATGGACATAGTTACCTACAGAAAAGGCATCCAATGCTAAATGTGAGCACAGCCAGCGAAACAGGCCCGGGATTCCCATAAAGGACTGAGCTTCAGGGAGGCAAGTGCCTAGTGTGGCAGGATGCATGGGAGCACGGCCAGGCAGGCAAGGGGCCCAGAGCCAGGATGCCTGGGTCCTAGGCCTGCCCTTGTCACTCCGCACACTACCCTGGGCAAGTCACTTCACCTCTCTGGGTGAGTGGGGATGATGTGCCTGCCCTGCCTCCATCCCAGTGAAGTTGTGAGCTTCACGTGAGTGCATGCTTCCTGTGTCAGAGTCCTCTGTTGCACGGGAAGAGCTCATTCGGGTTGGAGGCTGAGTATTAAAAATAACAGAAAGGTGTGCTTCCCTTTTAAAGCAAAATACGTTACCTTCACAAAGCCATTTCTTCCTGAACTGGGCGGATCGCTGGGGTCTGTGAAAGAACCACAGCCCCCTCTTCTGCTTCTTGCTGCCTGGCTCAGGACCGGCCTGGGCTCACAGGCACACTGGGCCCCGGAATTTGGACACCACAGACCAGGACTTCTAGAAAGAGTATTGTGTCTTCCTGGCCTATGGCTCTGCTTGAGGAAGAATAAAGTTCTGAGCCGCGGAATTCTGCCCCTCCAGGGTAGAACCGAATGGACCAGACATGGCCACAGACCTATGGATCGGGACTACGTCCCAGTGTCACAGGATGGGCGGGGCCGCTCAGGTCGCCGCTGGATCTTAAAGTGGGACACTTCGGTGACTACGAGGAATAGTGGTGCAGGCAGGAGCTGCTAGGGGACAGAGGCAAGAGGAAGCTCTGTGGTCTCTGAGGAGGCCCTGAAGCCTGAGGTGCAAACACTCCGGGTTAAGAAAGGACAGGCTCTATACTGAAATTAAACTGCAGGGAAGGGAAAGAAGAAAGGACAGGCTCAGTGACTCTGGCTATGGCCTGGCTGCGCATCAGGAACACGCAGAAATAAATGCCTGAGGCAGCTTCCTCCTGAGAACAAATGTGAACCTGGAGACCTCAGAAAGGCTCCTTCAGATGCAGCCAACCTGGGCCTGGCCTGGCCATGTCCGTCCCGGAGAAAATGGGGCTGCCCTGGTGGGCCCCATTTCTCACCTGCTTCGATTCAGCTGAGCTGGGAGGCCCTCACAGCAGACTCTTCCAAAATCCCACTAACTCTGTACCCCCCACACCAGGGCAAAGGAGAGGGGGGGGTCATGGCAGATTCTGAGAAATTCTGTGTCTCATCGTTTTTCATTCTTTTAGCCTTCTTGCCAATGGGCCTGACCCCACAGGCCAGGCAGAGGGCTAGAAGGCAGGCTGGCGCTGAGCTCTTGTGGATGGAGACAGGAAGAGGAAGCAGCAAGGACGCTCGGGGGCCAGGTGGGCTGCCTGGTGAGTAATTTCATGACCTGATAGAGGAGAGGTCAAGGTTTGGTCCTACACACAACAGGACAAGTAGGCATGGATTAGGGTCTCCAGCAGGCTGGCAAGCAAACTAGCAGTTTGTTCAAAGCTCTGAATCCCTAGGCTGGGGACCTAGCCGAGGTTTTCCCCCTCACTAAGACGGACTTGGGTGTCTAGTGGTGTTACAGACTAGAAATGGGATAACTCGGAACTCTAGGCCTGCTAGGGCTGGTATTCATGCTGGGTCCCTTCTTGTGTGGGTCTGAGGTCCCTGCTGAAAAGACACACTGCGTGGGAAGACACACCTGACTCCCTCCTGCCTCTCCACACATTCTGGGCCTTTCTCCTGACTGTAGGGGACATCAGTTCCTTCCATCCCTCACATGTACATAGCACTTTGCACGTTCTCAATTTTCACACCCATCAGTCACTTTACCCTCACAACAACCCAGGTGGCAGGCAGGCCTGGGAAACTCCATTTCATAGACCAAGGCTCAGAGAGGTTGAAGGACTTGCCTAAGGTTGCCCAGCAAGGAGCCTATGATGAGATCTTAGAGCTTCTGATTCTAGATTCACTTCTTTTCAGTGAGGAGACATCACTTCTGTGTCAGCCCAAATCGAACAATGAGAAAGGAAATGGACTGCCCCCAAGCCCATCTCTCTACATCTCTGAGCTGACCTGTCTTAGGAAAGGCAACCTCTCCACCCCAGCTGAGTTTCTGAGAGGAGCAGAGTGCTGGCAAGGCCCAGTCCCTGGTGATGACCCCAAACCCCACTCACCTACAGGAAGCCCCAAGACATGGTCTGGTGAGGGCAGTCCAAAGCGGAACCTCCGGGTGTTGTGGGTGATTTGCTATAAAACAGAAAACAGAGGCAGGCTCGGTCAGCTTTCGAGAAGCCTTTCTGGGCAATTCAAATGCCTGGTAAAGGAAAGGAGCTCTATTTGGTGCAATCCCAGCACACACACACACACACACACACACACTCGGAGGCAGTGGGAGCAAACTGGAGGCCAGAAAATGCCTGTCCCACTGCCCTGCCTTCCCAGCCAGCACATTCTCCACCACTCTCGTCCTCTTCTTTTTCACAGGCTGCCAGTGGAGGGGGTGGGCTGACTCCACTACCTCCTTCTCAATCAAGGGCAGCGGGTACTTGGTCTCAGAGTCCTGTAAGGTGGTATGTCTTCTCCGCGAGTTCATGTTCCTCAGGGCCAACAGGACCACTGTAACTCCAATGATGGTGATGGCAAGGAGCAGGGACGGGTCCTAGCCAGACACAATGTGAGCAGGGCGCCTCAGGTCCTGCCTGCCCTGGGCAGGACAGTGCTCAGGCACGACAGCACCCTCCCGACACCAAAGGCACAGGAGAAGCTGGGCCGTGCCCAGAAGAAACCAGACGGAGGGAAAGGTAATAAAACAGAATGCAGGGCGCCTGGGTGGCTCCATCCGTGGGGCGTCTGCCTTCGGCTCAGGTCATGATCTCAGGGTCCTGGAATCGAGCCCCGCATCAGGCTCCCTGCTCAGAGGGGAACTTGCTTCTCTGCCTCCCTCTGCTCCGCCCCCCACACACTTTGTACTCACTCTCTCTCAAATAAATAAATACACAAAATCTTAAAAAAAAAAAAAAAAAACAGAATGCAGGCTGAGCCTATGGTGGATCTGGAGGATAGGGAGGAGTCAGTTGCAGATCAGACAGGGCCAGGCAGAATTAATGTCACCAGGCCCTTCCTACCCATCGGCCTCCAACCTGGTACATCCGGGGTACAAGGGTGAAAGTCCTGGGAGACCCCTCCTTGAGGTGATGGCATTGCTGCTTCTTCTTTTTTTTGAGAGAGAGTGAGGAGTGGGACGGGGGGGGGGCGGGGTGTGGAAAGGAGAGAGAGACTTCCAAGCAGGCTCCACGCCCAGCGTCTGAGTCTGATGAGGGGCTCGATCCCAGGATCTTGGGATCATGCCGGAAGCTTAACCAACTGAGCTACCCAGGCACCTTTGGTGGCACTGCTTCTAACCCACAATCTAAAATGAACGTCGCAGGCCCCAAGGACAGATCTGCAGAGGGGGGATAGGCACGGTGTCCTCCAGCAGGTAGTTGCGGCTGAGAGCTAGGCAGGGCATGGGGCTCGCCACCCTCACTACTCCCCCGACCAGGTTCAGGCGGGTTGGGGTGGGGGTGAGTACCTCCGACTTAGGGGTGCTCCATTACCTTAGCGCCTCGGGACACACCAGCACCCTCCTAGGCAGGCGAAGGAGGCCTGGCCACTCACTCGCAGCCACTCGGGCGGACTCCCGCC